ATGTTTAGCTGTCAGCTGTTAAATGACGTATGTTTTCATTGTTGGAATCACTTCACATTTTACACAATTCTTTTTAAATTATTTTTCCAATGGGAGAAATCTACTCTATTTGTCAGTTTAGAGATTCAGCTATCATCTGTTTTAATCAGAATTTCCTACCAAATTGAACTTTAATATTAGATATTACAGTAGCAATGTGTGCATGCCTCACATTGAAGTTGCAAATACTACTTAAGATATGACCTCAAACATATTTTGGACGTTCCTTTGGTTCTTTGCATGTATTACTACAACTAACCTGTAAACCAGACTGTCTCTGCTTTATTTTAACATGGTTTTAATTGGAATTGCTGAATGATTTGCACAAGAGTGGGTTGCCAGTTGTACATTTATTTTGGAGGAAGTCCCTGATGAGAGATTACAGTGCAAGTAGGTTCCAAATTCAATTTAATTTGATACAAAATGGTTTATCCAAAACACTCTTAGATTGCGTGGATAATATAAATGGAATTTTACTGACTTGATAGGTGGGCTCCCAGTGAGAGCAATTTAAGAATGTTTTGGTTTAGGAAAAATTCCACTTGCTTTAAACGAACCAGACACAACATTAATCCCTTTTTTTAGAAACAAAAATGTACAAAGTAATATGATTAATGTCTTTTTAATGTACTTATGTACTTAAATATTAATGCTCATTGGGATACTGAATGGGAGGGGTTTCTGGATCTGTCTGAACAAGGGAATGAAATTACACTTCATGGGCACACTAATCTGGAGTTTTGTTCCATCACTACCATTTCAGCTGTGTGTATGTTCATTAAACTTCTTTATACTGACAAGTTCAGAAACATCTCCTGCTAAAGTCCTCGGTGTGTATGTATTTTTTATAAAAGAAACAAAAGTATTGAGTCCATTTTTTTCCCCACTGATTTCTTTTGAAATGAATAGCAATAGTCAGACCTCTTTCTCAAAAATTGACTAGCATTACTTTTCTCTCTCTCCATCTGCTAATGTACACTCTCGATGGTGTAAAAATATTACTGTTATAAATCAGTCTCAAGAATTTTTTTTATTGCATTTAAAATGCAGCTCTTTTCATCAGGGGAAATATTTCAAGTTGCTGCAGGTTTCCCACCGTCCTGATACAATGCCAAATAATGCAAATGAAACAAAGGTGTTAGCAGTGCCCCTTCTGCTCCAAGCCATAGCTCAGAGGAAACAAAACAGTGCCAGCATGAAGAAGTAGCAAGTCTCTATTTCAGGGTGAAGCTGCATATTCAGTGGAAGTATGAAAAATGTTGCAGCTAAAAGAATCCAATTATCATGTAAGTACACATATAGATAGAAGGATATGGTTGGCAGGCTAAAAGTTAACACTGCATGAAACTGCAGTACAGTACTTTAGGTTGTTTACATAGATCATTTAACTTTTGCTAAAAACCCCTCTAACTCACTCTAAACTCATACAAAGGGAGAAAATTGTGCATGTAATTAAAATGCTCACAGTATTGCATTACCACAACAATGCTTTGATGCAACAGAATGTGAGAAAAATCAGAGTAAAAGATATATTGTGCATCTTCTAGACACAGACATAAAGAATATGGTGTGTTTTCAAGCATTTTAAATTTTTTGGCCAAAATGTCAAATGTCTTAACTGTTCAACAATCAATTATTATTGTTATTGGACTTTAATGTAAGTTCAATATGCTAGAGTGAATTTGTCCATGAAAATCCAGAGTGGGTTAGTATTTACATTGCAGAACGGTTTTAAGTGTGCCATATCTGAGAAACCTACATAATTTATGTTACAGTGCAGATTCCAGAGTATCAAAACAATGCTACAGCTGTGAGCTCATACGCAGTTATTTATCAATATTTGCCCAATAGATCATATTAATTATACAATTGGACATTCTGCCGCCTCACTCCTGATGCTGCTTAAACTGTAGCTATCTACTCCAGTATCTTTGCCCTGTTGTTTTTTCCTATCCTTTCATAGTCTTCTTCTTCAAATTACACTTGAAATGCTATTATGCAAGCTTTTTGTTTTCTTTTCTGCAATACTCTGTAAACAGAGCAACATGTATCAGGTGTACATATCAGGAATTTAACAATTGATGAAGAAGTTTTTTAGAAAGATGCTTACATGAATTTCCAAATGTATTTTAACGTATTAAGCTCTTTACTACATTAATCACTGTTAGTAAAAGCATTTCACATCACAGTTTTTTCTATTTTTTCTTAACCCAATTCTGTCTGAGCATAACTAATCAATAAACAGTTTTTCTCCATCTTGCTATAAACAAGTCCTTAATTAATAAGGCTTCTTTTTATTACTGCATGAGATGTGGGCATCAATGGCCAGGCCAGCATTTATTACCTGTGCCTCATTACCTCGAGGGCAGTTAAGGATCAACCAAATTGCAGTGGGTCTGGAGTCACATGCAGTCAGGACCAGGAATGGACAGCAGTTTCCATCCCTAAAGGGCATTAATGAATCAGGTGGGTTTTCTGACAATTGACAGTGCTTTCATGGTCATTATTAGGCTCCTAATTCCAAATATTTGATGAATTTTAATTCTGCCATCTGTTGTGGCTGTTTTCGAACCCGGGTCCCAGAACATTACCAGGGTCTCTGGATTAATAGTCTAGCGATAATACCATTAGGCCGTCACTTCCCCATTTCTGCCTCTTCTGATAATTTATCACTTTTGATCATTTTGTAGCCAGAAATATTTATGCCTGAGCATGTCTGAATTTAACCACCCAGTGCAATATCTGATTGCATGAAATGAAGTACTATCACCCTCTCCTGCAGCAAAATAATTTACTAGCAAAGATAAACCATGTTCTCCTTTTCCAGCAACTGCTACCTAAACCCATTATCCTTCTGTCTTCTACGTCATTTGCTCCACCATCTTCATGTCCAATAGCAAGTACAAGGAACTCATGGACCTTTTTTGTAATTACACTTAACTCCATCTGTTCTGCTCTTTCAGATACTTCACTCTTGTAATAATTAAAGCCTCCCCAAGCCAGCCAGTTTCCCCCCTTCCCTCCCTCACCCTAATTCAGTAATTCTCCTATTCAAAACTGCCATCATCATTCCTTCTCAATATACTGTTGACATTTCAGTCCTTGCAGCCACCATTTCGTATCCACTCTTTCTTTCCTGTCTAAATTCCTTGAACATGTTCTAACTTCACAAATCTATTTCCAGCCTTATGTGGCTCCCTGGTTGGACCATTCCAGTTAAGTAATCACCCCTACCACAACACTGAAATAGCTGTAACTAATTTCACAAATGACATCCTTTGTGACATCCCTTGGCTTTCTTGATCCTCTGTAACAATAGATGTGGCCACTCATGCCATTGACTTTAAAAGCCCATCTTAATGGGGTTACCCTTTGCTCGGTTCACTCTTACATACTTCCTAGCAAGAGAACTCTGTTCGTAGTTTCTCATCCACCCTGTGTTGTTAATACTAGAATCACGCAAAAATCTATCCTTGGATCTTAACTCTTCCTTCCCTTATGTAACGGAAAAGTAAGGCTTGGATCAAAACCTCAGGACACATGCAAACATACACACACGAATGCACACGCACACACGCAAACACGTATGCAGGCTCATGCACGAATGCAAACACACACGCACATGCACGCACAAACACATGAATGCAAGCGCACACACATGCACGCGCACACAGGCACACGCACTGACACACGAATGCACACACATGTGCACACCCAGACACGAATGCAAACACGTGCACACACACACACTAATGCAAACACACACTAATGCAAACACACAGACACACACGCGCACACACACGCAAAAATACACGCACACACACGTGCACACAGGCACACATGCACTGACACATGAATGCACGCGTGCACACACGCAAACACACACGCAAACACACACGCAAACACACACGCAAACACACCCACATACGGCTGCAAAAACACTCACGCATGCAAACACATGCACACACACGCAAACTCGCATTCAAACACGCAAACACACAAATGCAAACGCACACACACGCAAACACAGACACAAACACACATGCGCGCGCGCACGTAAACACACACAAACACACGCATACGCAAACACACGCAAACACACACACAAACATACACACACTAATGCACACGCACACGCAAACACGTATGCAGGCTCACGCACGAATGCAAACACATGCACGTGCGCGCACAAACAAATGAATACAAGCGGCACACACACAAATGTAAACACAC